GGGGGTAGAAATTATTAGGCCTATTGTATCATGTGTTTCTTTAAATTTAATTCCTGTCATAATGAGATTATAAAAGTTCAGAAAAAGGAGCAGATCTCTCGAATTAGATATCTAGAGTCTAGAATCTAGAGATTGTGAATGAGAATGTTCTCATTCATTTCACAATAAATGTGTTGGGCTTGGATTGTGAAACCTGGCGCCTCATTAAACAACCATCATAACCTGAAACTGAAAGGCCTGTATGAGATTGGGGTTGCTTGAGGCCAAACTGCTGATCATTGTCTGTCCCGAAAGAACACACACCAAAAAAAGTTATACTGGGATGCTACAGTTGGAAGTTTTCCCCACCAAGAAAACCAACATGGAGCTTGCTGTTGACCAGACGTAGAAGCTTAGGTCTTCCTTGCAAGGCTTCATCCAAGACCACATTCTGCGGATAAATAGGCCCAGGTATATGACAACTTGATCATTTCACCAGCACTGTTGATAAACTGTCCCAAGAAGTGTATGCCATGAGCCCATAATGATGAACCATATGAACCTCATGACTTGAAAGATCAATTATAAAATAAAACTGAGGTAAGAGTCATACACAATTATCCTCCTCGCTCTGATCTCATTTTGACTGTTAATGTGCATTGTCATGAAGAATCTAGATCTAGATGCAACTAGATACGTGGCGTCTGTGGCTTAGTGGTTAGGCTCTCGGACTCGCAAGCGTTAGGTCGTGGGTTCGAATCCTGTCAGGGGCCCGACGTTGTGTCCTTGGGAAAGGCACTTTGCACAAATTTTCCTCACTTCACCCAGGTGGAAATGGGTACCTGGCTATAGATAGTGAATGTTCTTGTCAGTTTGATAATGTTTGAGCCCGTGAAATCCGCAGCTTGCACTCCGCGGAAGCCGAGTATATTTCTGAGTGTTCTCAGAGGGTCTGCTGGGGTTATAATAGTTGTAAAGCGCATAGAGCATATATGCTCTTGAGCATGGATATGCGCTATATAAATGCAATTATTTGCAATTATTAACTTTTAAAAAATCCCTGTTACCAACAGATTATAGGCCTAATTATATTGGGGGGGGGGGGGATTTTTGTCTCAATTTTTGCTTGACCCATTTCAATATTGTCTTTCATTCTGCTTTCCGTTTCTACAACTTTCATTGCAGGATCATATACAAGAGGGATACGTTGTCCTTAAGATTTTTGTCCTCTAGTGATGGAACAACATTAATATGGGAGACTGCACACACGGCTCTGGTATGTGGCAATCGACTGCACATCATCTCCCTTTGTATAGGAATTATAATTATGAGGCAACGTGATGAAATCAGACGCTTATCAAAATAATCGAAGTGAAGAATCTGGCGTTTTTCTGCAGGTTTGTGAATTTTTTTGTAATTTTCGTTTTTTGGCTCATTGTAACATGATATCACAAAATACTCATTGTGGGCAAGCTGTTCAATTATTCTATGCCCAGAAAGCAATATTATTTTTCAGGAAAGAGATTTATAAACTGTTTCATTTATCTAACAATTGCATCTACATTTATGTATTTCTTCTTGCTATTTTTAACAATTAGAATTTGAATTTGGACAAAGTATTTCTCGAGTTCATGCAACCTGTACCACAGATTAAAAGACTGAATTTTGTTTTTAAATTCGAAATTTTGGGCTTAGTACATTAAATCATGGCCAGCAATATATGGGGGCCCTTGTGGTCTAGAAGTTACGGTGCTCACCTCTCATTCAGTATGTCCTGGGTTTAAACCTGACAGCGACGGAACATTTTCTTCTCTAAAATTTGTCTCCTATCCTGCTCACTAACAACGTACTGTCGTCTGCTTTTGTCTCCAATTTCTGCCCCCCTCTCCCTCTTCCTTTTTCCCCCTCCTCTGGGTTCCTGATTCTTTCTGCAGCCTTTCTACTGCTGCTCCTTGGCTCCTTTTTACTGCTGTCTTTTAGCCACACCCCTGATCTTATGGTAGGTAAGATCTAGCACCTACTAGCCTTCTCAGATAAGAGCGAAAAATATCGGAGGTCCTATGTGCAAGTTGCGCGCGTCTAAGATGCCTTGATGGTCCCAAAATCGATAAGAAGCTTCAAAATCGATAAGAAGCTTCAGCCACCACCGGTACAAAATTCAAAATTCCTACCAAATTGAAAATGTTAAACCGTATCTGTTCGTCGTATTTGACAATCGTATCAATACGAGGTGGGGAACTCTGTGCCGCCACTTTCCAAAGAGGAAATTTACTCGTTAATCAGATCCGTACGTTTTGCATAGCAGTCTGTGAAAATGATTTTTTAAGAAAAACTGAAAGTTTCAAAGAGATCTCCGCACTACAAGTATTCTAAAATGTGAAGAATACAACCCCAAGGATACAAAATGACCCCTGGGCATACGGATAGGGTTAATATGTCCCACACACTCTCATATGTATGACCTTATGCAGTTGCTTGCGAAGTAAAACACTTACGAAATCAAGCAATATATTATTATTATATTGTATATATGCTCAATTTTTATTGAGCGAAGCAAAAAATAAAAATGCTAGTTGTAGGTGCTTCCATTTTCATATTTTTAGAAGTTTCTGAATGATGGCCTCCAAATTTATATTTCTTTTTTTTAAAAGTTAATTTAGTGCATCTGAGTGATTCTTTTCTACTTCAACAATATAATATAAGAAAGAAAAAAATATATAGTAGAGTCCATGTATCTCGAACACGAAAATCACGAATTTTCGGGTATCACGAACATAATGCCCGGTCCCGTTTCAGTCCCTATATTTTCTTTGTTTTGACTCCACGGAGTTCCTGAACACTCGGAACACGCAACACTTGAATTTTGAACAAATTCACTTCACATTCTCAACTAAAGACACAGCTTTACAGCCTTTCTGGCTTCGGATAGGTGTTTCGTTGTTATTGTTACAGCCAAAACGCGGCCCTTCTCACCACAGGAGGCTGGAGGAAGGGGGGACATGCTGTGGGACGCGAACGGTGCAGATGGCAAGAGGAGTAACTCTCTGTAAGCCACTGAAATGAGAGGAAAGGAATCATGTAAGAGTCGGCTGTGCACACTTGAGATTTTCTGCTTCCGACTTTCATTCATCTTCTTGCTTGGATATAGGGGGGCAAGAAAAGTCCTGAACTCGGATACAGCGGGAGAGATCTAGCGAGCTCTAGCTGGGGTGGGGGGGGCTGTAATCAGGCTATAAACAGGCAGTCAGCAATGCAGTGTTGTGATTGGCTAGACCAGTGATGAGTGGAGTGAGGTGGGATAGCGGTAGCCCTAGAGAGATGGTGCAGAGAGAGAGAGAGAGAGATGGTGTGGAGAGAGAGAGAGAGAGATGGTGTGGAGAGATAAGTTTCGTGAACCAGTCCATAAGTGATGTAGATCTATACTGTAGAATATGACTGTAGCTGCACCTGCTGCAGTGGAACCATCCCTACAGTGGGACCTTACCGGAATCCCTCTATGCAAACTCAATTACCTGTGCTCGGGTTTAACAGGGCAAGGAAAGGCAAAACTTGGATACAGCTGGAGAGATCAAGCGAGCTCTAACTGTGGGGAAGGGGGGTGGGGGGGGGCTGTAGGCAGGATCCAAACAGACAGTCAGCAGTGTGGCATTGTGATTGGCCAGTCGAGTGATGAGTAAGGTAGGACAGGCAGCAAAAGTCCCGCTATAGCCGTGTTCTACTGTATTCTTTTTGACTTCCTTTGATTTTCTCTCTACTTCTTTGTATTTGGGGCTTTCGCGGACGTGACGAATAACAGAAATCTCGAACACTATTTCCAATCCCCGCCGAATTCGAGTTACCCGTGTTTGACTGTACATCTTATTTTTTATGGAATTATTTCCATTAAGTTCTTGGAGTTTTTTGGGGGTTTGTTTTTTTTAAGGGAGGGGGGTCGTGGGGAGGTCAGGATCATCCAACGTTCATTGCTTTACATGACCACTTTATACAATGCTTTGTCAAAAACTTTATAGCTTTTGTTTCCTCTTACAGGTTCACTACTTGCAATCTTGCCATCATCTACAGAGCAATATGCCTTTGATCCTGCTCTGATGCTCACTGCTTCCTCTGATACTTTTGGCCATATGCTCCAAGCATACACATACATTGACTTAGCTTAGAGCTACAGGACTTTGTGTGTCCAATGGCTTCTAATCCATGTGTTGGTCTTATGTCTGAATGCCTTTGTGAAAAGTTTGTAATTCATAGCAAAAGGATTACACTCCCAGAGCTTTCACAAATGCCAGCATTTATTTACCACAAAAGCCCCCACCTTTTGAAATCCAAATAACATCTTGGCTGAAAGTGAAATAGCCCTTTGCATGGCTGATGCTCACTTTTGGTGAGTTCCAAATGCTACCATCGGATTTGTTGAGGAGCTGATGGTGAGAGGGAACAAGACTCTGGAAGAGCTGGGCAACTTAGTCATAAAAAGAGGGGTTTTTTTTAGGAAAGCAGCTGTAAACCTCATAAGCACAGCACTGGCAAAGATTGTTCAAATTCTCCTGAACTTGACTGGCTGAGGAACAAGAAAGTGAGGTGTGACCTGGAAAAAAAAGAAATCCAGCTCTCTTGTCAAAAGCCAACTGCCTCTGCCTCTTTCGTCCAACTGAAGGAAGTCAGCAAGCTTTGTTGAGCGTGCACACCATGACTGACTGCCTCTATAGATATATCTGAGGAGGAGAGTGGAGAGAGACTTATCTACTGTTGCAGGATCCAGGGATGAATTATATCGGTGAAGGCTCGTTACCTGTCCATTAATTTCTATTTATGATGGTGAGGAAAAGAGGACAGGGATCTCAAAGTGAGCTCATTTTTTGTAGACATGATCATCTCTTCCCGGTGATCTCATGCTGATTTAACTAACACATTTTCTGTTGTCTGTGTCGTGTGATATGTGGATATCAAATATGATAATGGTCTATTGAGTTTTATACTTTTATTTAATTTATTAGATAGCAACAATATTATTATTCCAGCCATGCAGTATATCTTTTCAAGACAGTTAATTTGTCATCCTTCAAGACAAGGTTTAGATGTTCATTAATTGTATGCAAGCATGCACACACAGCTGAGCTCATAGTGATTTTTGTCATTCAAACTAACTTACTGCGATTATGTTTGATCAGTTTAGATCATAAGCAACAAATTTAAGGCCTGGCAATTATATCCAGTCTGGCAATGATATCCAGTCCACAAGAGAATTTTTGATAGTCCATCTTGAGAATCTCCATAACACAGAAGATATATGAACTAGTTGCCAAGAAAAGGTGCCAAACACCTAGCTCTGACAAATGAGGGCATAAAAAGAAAAAATTGGTATGCATTGGTTTGCCGTTAGTCTTTTATCTGTTGTAATTGATGTTATTTTTAGAAGAAGGTTTGATTTTTTCACTGCTCAATGTGTGTTTATCCAGTTCGGCCCTCAACCTTAAATATGTAATTTGATTTTGGTTCCCTGAGCAGTTGTTTGACATACCTGGTTTAGATTATCAGTAGTGTTTGTGACTTTATTCACTTTTACAGTAGTTACATATAGAGCTGTAATACTTGCAAGATGTTCCGTTATGCATAGGCCTGTATGTTTATAAATTATTTTCACAGCTGATAGATGAAGAGCAAAAGATTTCTCTCACTTTCAGTACTTTAGATGTTCCTCCCTTTTTATGGTTTAAATTTGTAGTTTGTCAAAAGGAAAAGACCTAAATTAGGCTAAATGAACTTCTGTTTTTTGTTAATCACAATTTTGGTTATATGTGAGTTGGAATACGGGGGTGGCGAATTATCGCACGCATTTTTGTAGTTAGAATCTTTTTTGCAGCCTTTTTTTTTTTCTTTTTTGAGATTCAAATTTTTTTGCTGTCCATGTCCAACAGAAAAATTAAAAGATGGATTCATCTGAATGCTGCAAAGTTCCAAAAGGTGAAATTATTAAAAGAATTGAAAAGGTTTGTCTGGATGTCTTGAAAATGATAGCAACGGGTCAACCACCAGTATTGGAGCTTCCACGCTGTTCAAATTGGAATGATGTTGTGTGAGTTGAATAGACCTTTACCATCATATACTATCATGTATCATGTTTGAGAGTTAATGTGTTTCAAGAAGTTTGTTTTAGCCTGCCATTAGTGTTATTTAGAGATTTCCTTTCTAGTCCCTGTACTTTTTAAAACTTACACCATATTATTAGAGTATATTTTGTTGTCTTACAAAGCCACTCATGTGCAGTCAATAAATTGTGTAAAAGTGTAGTATATTTGTCACATAAGTTAAATACTATAATATTGCCTCTGGATAAATTGGGAATGCTCTTACAAAGACTCTGATGTACATCCTTTGACTTTAAAATTTGGCCTTTAAATTTTATGTCAGCTTCAATTTAATTGATCAACTGCGTCAATTTAATAAGGCAAGCACTCAAATTGCTGAGTCAAATAAATAAATAAGAAATTAAATTTTCTTTAAGAAGACAGAATTTTTATAAAAAGACTTATTTAGCACACTTAAGTACTTACAGGTTTAATAGATCCAGTTTCATTTTTTTTTTTGTTGTGTTAGATTTCTCTGTGCAGATTATTCCAATTTCTGCTTAACTACCCCTAGTGACATTAAAATGAGTTGATATACTCATAATGAGGTTAATAAGTGTCAATTTAAATGAATAGCCTTTAGTGTGGTTTGTAACCTCTGCTGTTACTGTTTCTAGTGGCAGTTAACTTTGTGTTTCTCATTTAGAAGGGCAAATCTAATCTCACAGGAAGATTAAACTGTACATAACAATATATATAAAGTGGCTGCCTACTACCACAAAGCATGTCCTTGAAACTTAAATGCTATTTACTACTTTGACCTACCTGCAGGATAGGATTTCTCACTAATATAAAGAGACATGCTCAGTAGATTGTCATGAAAGGTGCTTGTGTTAAATACAGCATTTTGGAAATATTTTTGGTACAATTTATGTTTAATTGGTGATTTTAATTTTTGTTTTTCTTGTAATAACAGGTTCACAGAAAGTATCAACTTTGATCTCTCGCACAACTGCTCTGTAAAACGGGTAGCATTTGCTAAGGCTCAATCTGTCAAAAAATTTGGTAAGAACTACTGCAGCTGTTCAGCGTTTAGGCCTGTAACTTATTAGAATTAAATGTATTATACTTTGTTGAATGATGGCTTCCTATTTTGTCCCCCTCCCGGAGGTCATTTTATGTAATTGCATCTGTTTAAAAGATTCTAATTTTGGCTCCTCTGCGTAACAGCGTCTTTTGGGAGAGATACCCAATTGCCACTTTAAGCAAAAATTGAGACTAACGTCAATTGAGAACAGCTCCAGATTCTTTTTTCAAGATTTTGTAAATGATCTTTTCTCACCAAATGACATATTTGGTATGATGGGTGAGAAACAAAGGCTTGCACTGATGAGTTGGTCTGTTTCTTTGTTACTAATTGAAGATCTGAATGCTTGCCATTAGGAAGTTGCAATTACTGGCCACAGAGCTGAAATGTGTGGATTTATGAAGGCATCATTTATTTTTTCTAGAGATAAAAAATATCTCTGTTAGTATCTGTGACATGTTCCCTAAATTTTTTTAATTTTTTTTCACAGCTACGATGCTGAAAATTATGAAAATTATATACTGCCTGATCCAAGAAAATAGATACTGTACAAAAAGGTAACATTTTCTGTTTTTGTCCCCTCCATCATTCAATACTATTGTTATCTGAACACCCCCCGGGGCAGTGCCACTGACTGTAATGTCTTTAGGCCATTCCCAAAGGGGGGACATTTCTCGTTCAAACACAGTAGAATTGTAAATGAGCTGATTCATGTCACGCTCATAACTGTGGCTGATCTACAACAGGGAACTGCTGCTTTTTCTTTCCTAATACTTATTATTGTCATTTCTCCTCTACTTCTTTTGTATGTTTGTCACTCTCTTGTGACTTGCTATTTCCGGGATGCCTTGATAGTTGAAGCAGACCTTGTGCTGTTGAAGCTAGAGAGGTGAGCAGTCTAAGTCTGATTCCCTGTAAAGACTTCTCTGTTGACACCCACCCCTTATGCAGTTGCGAGCGCCGTAAAACCCTCTACTATAAAAAAAAAATGTTATCTGAACCTTCCTACTTTCATTAGTTGTTTTTTGCATATTAAAGTTTTAGCTAGACTCCCAAGGTGGAATGTGTTCATATATTCAAGTGTTAGACTCCTTGATGCGTGTAGATTATGGAATATATGTCTTAAGTACAGAATTCAATATTTTTCCTTGTCTCCTGTTCTTTGAACTATTTAGACACTTCAAGATATACTCAAACTTCTCAAGCTTGAAAGTGCCATGTTTTAATGTAGGTTGGATTTTGGGGTGTTTTGTGTGTGTGTGTGTGTGTGTGTGTGTATCTTCTTATTATTATAGATAATTGTACAAACATGAAATATAATGTATTAGTTAGGCTGGTTTGGTGTCACTATGTGCTGTTTTCAGGTTTGATAATGTTGAGCAGTGTGTGTCAGTCATATGCCTTTTGAAAATCAGAGGATGAAAGTGGATAAAGTATTATTTATACTTGACAAGAGAGGATTTATTGACAGTATTGTTAAAATCATGTTTTATGTGTGTGTGTTTTTTTCCACTGTCAGAGATATCTATTACCAGCACCCAGAGCTGTATGGTTCCCAAGCTGGCATGGATAGGGTCATTGACGACATAGCCTGCATGCTTTGGGTGCCCCGATGGGAACTACACATAGTAAGTACACAACTTTTAATGGCTCTATAAACAGTATGTGTGAAGATGCCATTTCATAAGTCCACCTGTCTACCTACCTTCCTATCAAGCTTCACATTGATAACCATGTTCATTATCTGTAAATTGACATAATCATCGCACCACCTATTGTATATTGACTTTTTTACAAACTGTGTGTGTGTGTGTTTGTGCATGTATGCATGCTGCTTTATTTAAGTAGCTAACTCTACCATTATTCTACAGGTGGCAACGTGTAAAGGTCTTGTGGCTGGAAATCTCCAGTTTAAAGATGAGCAAGGGGCTCTCACTGACTGTCGACAAACTATATCTGTAAGAGATTTTGTGTTCGGCAATTTATTTTTATTTTCTTTTATACAGTCTAACACGCACAAAGCAAAATTTGCAGGATGTAGAAATGTTTTCATCTAAAAATTTCACCACGTGTGTGTTTAAAATACAAAGAATACATGTACACGAAAAAGTTCAGGACCTAAAGATTTGTTCGCTATGTGCGCGCAAAGCTGTATTTAACATTTTCTAAGTCTAAGTAATGGGTTATCTTATATGGTCTGCTCCTTCTGTATCTTTTGATTTTGCTAATGTCCTGATCAGTTCCTGACAAAAAGTGGCTGTTTAACATTTTGACTCAACTGTAAATTTCATCGGAGCTATGGCAATAATAATAATAATAATAAATAGAATTTGTATAGCGCATATCCCCGCTCAACTGCAGGCTCTATGCGCTTTACACTATATTAACATCCAGAACAAATTCTGTTCCGAGGACTTGCAAAGAAGCGAAATATTTTGTGCTCTCTTTAACAACAAGATGAGTGAGTGAATTTCCTTTTTCTATGAGTTTTACGACTTCTAGTCGTACAGTGGAATGTTGGGAGAGTTTCTTACGGATAATTACTGACATAAAGCCACAAATATAGCTGTAGTAAAAACCTATTTTTACAATTCTGAACTCAGAAACTCTTGGGGTCATGGCAAAGGTAAGCTGTTGAAAAAGAACTTTGACCCCAGCATATGTAGTATTGGCAGGCAGTGTGTTAATTAAAGGACAACATGGCAAAATTTGCCCCTTTATGTCAGCTTCTGCTGTTATGATACATCTTCTGAAGTGAATATTCAACCATGTCTTCTCTTGCTGCCCACGAAAATATCAAAATACCCTGTCTCTCAGCCATTAATGAGAGAGTAATTATTCAAAATATTGTTGCTTCCAGGGCATTCAGATTGCGGCCCACTCCAAAGACATGCAAAGTAATTGTGAAAAACAATGGGGTTTTTTCTGCTGCTGTTCATTCATAGTTAAACTTTAATTGTTCTGTTTTGTTGGTTTAATTACTGTTTTACATAATGATGATGTTGCTAGAGGTTTTTTTTCCTTCTTTTATTTCATTTCTATTATGCCCATAATGTATCCCCTAAGGTGAAACATAAAGCCTTTAGAATTCTACAATAAGATATTTATTTAGGCTATATATCCATGTTTTTTAATATAAATTTCTCAAGACTTTTTTTCCCCTTTTATTTAATGAAGAAAATGAACAAGAAAAAGTGTCATTTCCCTACAGCTGAATTTTTTTCTAGAATTTCCTGCAAGTGAATTTTACTTTAAGAATGGTTACTATTCATGGTTAGGAAATTATATGAGATTCAATTTTATTCTGCTTTTCAAATTTGACAATGACAACGATGGTAATGACGGTGATGGCAGTAGACTGTTGATACTGATATGTAAACTCTGGACCTAAGACGAAGGAGCACTGCTTCTCTTCTTTTCTCTTCTTATGACTTAAGGATGCGAGTCATTCTTACAAATTTAGGCAGAAGTTAGTCAAACTGCTAAGTCTCATTCTTTTCAGAATGACTTGTCTTTTTTTGTACCTACTGATGTCGTACTGGTCACACGACTGCTGTCTTTTCTTACTTACCCAGTTCATTGGAAAATTTTAACATGATGGCTTCGTATAACAACATATAAAAGTCTATAATCAAATTATGAGGACAATCTGGAACGATGGACACTGCCCTGCCTCTCCCTTGGTTCACAGATCCTTTTAGAATAGTAGTTCGTTTCAAGAAAGAGATGCAGATATTTGTTTAACTCAAGTGCATAAAAAATTGTAAAGTCCCATTGCGCTTTTTCTTTCCAGATATCCAAACCCAAGCCAGGTTTGTCCTAATTGTAGAAAAAGATGCGACTTTTCAGAATCTGATGACCAGCAAGTTTTGCGAAAAGATGAAACAGTCCATTCTGATCACAGTAAGTTACAATTTGGTTTCCTGGTGGAAACAGAAATTTGTTTTGTAGTTCCAAGTTTTTATTCTTTCAGCAGCTGCATGTGTCTTCCTGAAATGCTCGCATCACTTTCTTCAAACAAAAATGTCTGTTCTCAGTGTTTGCAAAGAAAGATGAATCTCTATATAGTTTTACACAAATATGCTGAAAAATGCCATCTTTCCTGATAAGTACCCAGCTATGTATATATACGACAATGAAAGATCTTGTCAGTGTGTTAGTGTTAGGTTGTAGTGTATGCTTCCCGGGAAGCTGAGACTGTTTCTGAGTGTTCTATGGTCTGCTGGGGTAATAATAATATAGTGTAAAATGCATAGAGCTTACTGTAGAGCGAGGTAATGCACTATAGAAATGCTATTTATTATTATTATTTTTATTAAGTGTGTTGTAGATATGTTTTTACAGTTAAAATTGTCCAGGACGGCCACCTATTGTCAAGGAAGAAAATGGTTGTCTTAGTCTTGAACAGTATCAGTATGATGGCTAAGACATGCAAGAGAGAAGTGAGTAGTGGTCCTTTATACAGGGAACTTTCTTGGACTGGTGGTCATTCGTGCAAGTTCAACTGTACTTACAACAGGAAATTGAGATGTCTTGATTTTCTTCTTGAGTGAGAAAAAATACATGTGATAAATAAATGTTGGTGAACAAATAAGTGAGTAAAGATAGATGGAAATTACTAGTACTTGTGTGACTATTGTAATGATCTTTACTGGTTTTTTCCTCTTGACTATAATCATATTAACCGAGTGATTGTAGGACTTCACTTGTTGACCTTACGGGGGGGGGGGTTCCTTAGGCTGTTTCTACCTGTTCTTTTTCTTAGCTCTCAATGACCATTATTGTGTGGATATGCTTCTCTTTACTCAAACATTGTGATGGTATCAACTTTTACGTCATAGCACATTGTGGGGAATAAATTAAATCTTAATGAAAACCACTAAAAATACCCAGTTTTTACATGCACAGTTATTGAGCTACTTGTAAAATCATTTACTTTTATTCTACTTTATCTTGTCAAACAAAGAAATAGACCCTAGATGCATTACAAAGTGGTGTCTGTGTCCCAAGGTGTGGGGGAGGGGTTTGACTCTGGAAACATGACCAAACTAGAAAGTTTGATGGGTGTTGAACTTGTGATCTTATGATCATTCATGTTATTGTTACGTTTCGGTAATTAGTTGTGGATTGTTTTGTAAATTCCAATAAAGCAGGGGAGATTACTCTCACTACTTCCCCCCTCCCAACCGATCAGCTGTTTTGGCCGTTGTCTGCTTTTGTTCCCTCATCATGGCAAGTCGAATCAGATCTAGTACCTATTCAACAATGGGTTTCAGGGCAAAGGTTTTCCTGACATTGGCACTCGCCTCTTGCTGCGGAAGCTGTGGTGTCAGCACCAGCTACCAATGTTTGCCTTGGTTGATGCAGATCCCCACGGGCTGGAAATCATGGCCGTCTACAAGTACGGCTCTCGGGTAATGCCTTTTCAAAAATTTCTCTGTTGTTTCATTCTAATTTTTGTTACTAAATTTTATTTTTTTTTCAGTCAATCTGTATTTCACACCCTTCTTCACATCTATGCCAGATTAGTTTGAGATGTTGCTTTCTGTTTGTCTAAGCTTAATGCTTTTCTAGATGAAGGGGCTTCTTTTTAAAAAATGTAGCACTTAGCGCGAGGGTAAGATCAGAGAAGGAGAGCCATGCGGATATGTAAGGACGAACATTATTCTTGTAGGGTATTCTCTTTGGGAGGGGTTGCACTTTCTGCTAGTATGCAGTGGGCTGGGGGGGGGGGGGCATTGCTATTTCTTATCTTTCCCTCTATTGCTCCTTTCCATCTTGTCTTGCTTTTTCCCTGCACTAAATAAGCTGTGTCGATGTGTTTCTTTTTATTCTAACAAAATCAAATATCCGTTCCGGGCATAATGTGACTGATGTCATTATGTTGACTTTTCATAACTACATTTTAGCAGCAATAATTTTCTATTTTTCTTTCTCAGAACCAAGCATTTGAAAGTCGTCATTTGGCTGTGCCAGCTATACAGTGGCTTGGAATATGGCCAGAGGATATTCAGAGGTAAAGTTTTGTTTCTTCAGAACTTACAAGGTCCTTGTTGGTATTGTTCTTGCTGTTGATGTAGTAGACTGTAAGTAAATGCAGCTGGATCCATTGTCATGTTGTGGAGGGTAGAAATATATGTGGTGTCCTGGGAAAACCATGCATTACATTGTAGGTGGTTGGCGAGTGCTCTGGTGTGGTTTGCTCCTTCTTTCCTATCACTATCAAACATCTCTCGTCCTTTTCCCTCCTCCCTTCTTTTTTGTGTTTGTTACTCTCTTGTAATACTTCTAATATTCAGCACTTATATGACCCTATTGAGTTGCATGTGCAGTAAAACTCTTACTAAAACTAAATGCATTTCATTAATTCATGCGTGGCTACAGTTTCTACACAAATTCATTGTGCTGGAAATCACCACAATAAATCAGAAGAATCAACAACAGAGGCACAAATTCAACCATAATTTTTAAATGGAAAGCTAGACATGTAAAATAGAGCTGGACTTTTCTGCATTCTTGTGTTTACAAGCCCCAACATTATTTGAAGTATCATTTTCATAGTTTTTTTTGTATGACTTGACATGTGCAGTGTCTACATTTCAGGTACAGCATACCAGAGACTTCTTTGATACCATTGTCAGAGGGAGACTTCAAGAAAGCTCAAGCTCTCAAGAAAAGGCCCTACTTCAAACATGATGTGGACATACTTTCACAAGTAAGAAACCCTTAAATTAAAGAACAAACAAAAATGTCTGAAAAACGTTTTTAATCTTTCTTTAAAAATCACATGGCTTACTTTAATTGTTTGAAGACAAGAGTTGGGTAGAGAATGACATTTGTTGAACACTTTTAGGCTAGTTCAGACACCAACACATAAACTCATCAAAAGTGAAGAAGCGTGAATTTTTATTCTTGTCCACGAACAAAAAAGGAAGTCTTCAGATATCAGAAGCTCAGATATAATCCCAGATTTTCTTCACCATAATCCAGAGCTTCACATCTAATCTATCAGTATGATCAAACTAGTAACAGGGAAACTCACACCTTGCCATATAGGATTATATGAGCTCAGACTTTTTGAAAGAAGACAGAATCTCTTTTTTGAAAGATTTAGTAAACTTGTTTATACGTTCAATATTGAACATATTCTTAAATCAGCTACCCTACATCAGACAGAAATTAGCTTGCCCTTCAAGCAGCTCAAACGGTTGAGTGGTTGTAAAATTGTTTTGATCACTTTCAGATTCTGGTTTCACTCATGCTTACTTTTTGTGAGTGAAAGCTAAACGTAAGTGCACATAAAAACAGCATGGCGTAAAATGTTTGTTTCAGTTCTCTCTGGGTTTAGAAGTTGTCAACAACAAGGTGATATTTCTTTAGAAATTATTTCTGTGTCATGTGAATTTTTATCATTACTATCGTAGTGTTGGTGATTTAGTGGATATTTAAGCTGTTAGGCTCACAACTTAAGTCAGAAGCCTGGCATTGTGTCCCTGAGAGAGGCAATTTAATAACAGGAAGTGTCCTTACTTCACCCAGGTGGGAATAGGTACCTCGCTATAGACAGCAAAAGATCTTAGTTTGTTAGTGTTTGGGCGCTAAATCAGCTGCAAGCACCGTATGCTTCCCGGGAAGCTGAGAATGTTTCTGAATGTTCTTATGGGTACTTGGGGTAATAACATAAATTGTAAAGTGCACAGAGCCTGCTGTTTAGCAGAGATTTTTAGTTTTTAGTTATAGTAGAGGTTTTACGGCGCTTGCAACTGCATAAGGTCATATGAGCGCCAAAAGATTAGAGGTGTCACAAGAGAGTAACAAACATAAAAAAGGAGGGGAGATAAGGACGATAGATGTTTGATAGGAAAGAAGAAGCAAACCACACCAGAGCACCCGCCAACCACCCTCAGAGCAGGGATATGCACTACAGTAGTCTCCGCCTAAACGCGCGGTGCTCGGGAGGGCTCCTTAGCGTGTGTGTATACGGATCGTGCGTTTACATGAACCTTTGCAAGGGGAGAAAGACAAACTCAAAGTAATGAATATGCACTATAAACGTCAGTAACAGAGAAAGCCTAGGAGGAAACTGTTGGTCATTCATAGTCATAGAGACGACGGACCAGCCACGTGGCTTTCAAAGCGACCACTCCCGACCGTAAATTCATGCAGAATCATCCTCGAGAAACATTTTCTCTTGTGATTCGTTGAACAAGTACGTTATAAGTTCTTCGAGCGCAGCTTATTAGGCTTATTTGGCTAATCTTTAATCCTATAGAGGCCTGTCTAGTGTTTTACGGCATTTACGCTTGTCGCGCATCAGGCCTAGATCAAACTAAACATTACATGCAGTCACTCAAACTCAAACATCAGCCAGAAACCTTCTATCAAAGATACATTTCCAGTGACCAATCCAAAAAACATTTCAGTCCCCCCCCCCCCCCACACACACACACACATTTAACCGACCAGCCCTAGACCAAGACCTGTGCGTCAGTGGAAAGTAGGGTGTGTATAAACGCTGTCCATCACTCTCTTTGTACGGCGTGAGGGGCACTCTCACCAAATATCCGGTTTTCTAGTAAATTCTAGGCTTGTCTTATGCAGGCTGTACAGGTTGTAGTGGAAATTTCCCCTTGCCAAACTTAACTTGTCGGCGTGTTTCACGGATCGGAGCGTGCGTTTAGAGGGAGTGACTCTAAATTATATAGTAAAAAACCCGTCAGATGACGAAAGCGTGCGTTTGAGCGGAGCATGCTTTTGTATGGCGTGCGTTTAGGCGGAGACTACTGTATACAAATATTATTTTTTATGATTGTTCTAATTTTTGTTATTTATTATTATTGTTATTATTATTGTTGTTATTGTAATTATTTTTATTATTATTTTTATTATTATTACTACTGTTGTTATTATTATTTTCATTATTATTTACTGAAAGAATCTGAACAAACAAATAATGGAGAATGACTAGGACAATATAAATAGGTTGTTTTAGAGCACTGAAGCAAAAAAAAAATGAATTGTATAGTTGACATCTGCTTCAGATATATATGGCACTTCATGTTGATCATGTCATTGGGTTTTGTTTGGTTTTTTCTTCAGCTGCACTTCAAGACAAATAAGTATCTTTTTACCCTTATTTTCAGTAATATTCCAGATTATTTTAGGAAGTATTGTCTTTCAGATTGATCTGATGCTTCAGAGTGGAAAGAAGGCGGAGATTCAGTGCCTGGATGCTATCTCCTCGCTGTACCTGTGTGATGTGTACCTGCCCTCGCGCATACAGCTCATGCTGCCCACTCAGACCCTTTGAGGTTGACATCGGATGACTTTTGACTTTTATGATCATGAGAAATTTACTGGTTGCAGACATTCCTAACGGAACTGAGTAACTTTAACACTTTTGCTGCTTTAAATAGATGTTAGGAAATACAGTCGGAATTGTCCAAGATGGCCACTCATTGTCGATTTTAAGAAAGTGGTTGTGAGAGACAGGCAGAGGTCTAAGAAAACATCATTATAATAGTAAAAAAAACAAGGGGTAGAGTGGAAAGTAACCTTTTGTACAGGTCAAAAGAAGCCACCAAAGAGATGCTAAAATCTGTAAACGTTTTCAACTTTCACTGTTTTGAATTTCAATAAAAAAATCAAATTTCTATCGTCCATATACTGTTTTGTGTTGCAGTGACTAGATGATATTGAAGATTTCCTTTTGCCAATTTTTGTGCACAACGTGATCCCCTTTGACTTTTTTTTTTGGGGGGGTATATTAATAGTTGCACCACACGGTCATACTCTTGTTTCATAGCCTGGTCCTGTAGTGTAAGTCACTTGTCGCTCATTGAATCTGGTCTTATAGCTCCGAATAGATATTGCAAATGTGGATGACTATACGACCTCAGTTTGATCCTTGAGCCATGTAACTTGTATCATAGATGTGGGAAGAAAGTATGGTAGTGGTTCATCTATGACGCAACTGTGACAGGTGGAAAATTTATGATTTATATAAAGCAACAATTTAGAAAGGTGCTTTGTTTTATATGTTTTAGTAAATTTTACAGCCCTTCTAACACAATGTCATATAAGTGCCAAAGATTAAATGTGTTACAAGAGAGTTACCATCACAAAAAGGATATATTCTATAAGGATGATAGATGTTTGATAGAAAAAACAGAGCAAACCACACCAAAGAACCTGCCAGCCACACACTGAAGGGTGCAGTTTGAGAAAAAAACCTTCATAAATTCAGGATTTAAGAGTTGTGTGCGCTTCAAAATCCAAGATCCATCAATGAGTTTTATCGATGCAGATATGATTTATGTGCCTCGCACTGAATAGTGCGCCGTTTTCTATTCTAACTTTTCTATCATTAAAATTCTTGCTTTTGCCTTCTATGGATTCATCTGACCTAGTAGTGTCAGTTCTGCTGTGCGCCTCTTCTCCCAGCGAATCCCACTTCAAGTTTTAAGTATTCAAAAACTTTGGCCAACTGTTACCACCAGCTGCTGCTTTTAAAAGATAATTGATTTGTAAAGACGAGTTGTGTAGTTGTAAGTCCAGTTAAGCAGGAGCAGCTTGCTCATCTTCACTTGGGCTGGGTTTTTTTTATATTGCCATCGTGTTTTGCAGTTATATGGCAAGGGTTCAACATCCCTTCAACACAGTCAGGTTATTTCAGAGGATACACTTTTAGACTGTCTTCTCTTTGGTATGAGAGATTACAAAAACTTGCAATCTGAGGCCAGTTAGTGTTGGGTTTTTTGGTTAGAGTAAAAAGAAGCAGAAACGGGGAAAGTGAAGACAGAAGTAGGACCAGGGGCTCTCGTGGCCTAGAAATTAAGGTGTTCGCCTCTCATTCAACAGGTCGGCGGGTGGTTGACGGGTGCTCCTTCTTTCCTATTAAACATCTATCTTCCTTATCTCTCCTTTTTTGAGTTTGTTACTCTCTTGTAACACTTCTAATCTTCGGCACTTATATTATGACCTTATTGTGTTGCAAGTGCCATAAAACTCTTACTAAAACCATTCAATAGGTCCCGGATTCAAATCCAGATAGCGACGGAAAATGTTCTTCTCTAAAATGTTCTCCTTTCACCTCCTTTCCTGCTGTTTTTAGCAATGTTCTGTCGCCTGCTTTCATTTCCCAACTCATCACCTCCTTTGCCCCCCTCTTCTGGGCTCCTGACTCTTTCTGCAGACTTCCTACTGCTTCTCCTTACTGCTGCCTTTCAGCCACACCCCTGATCTTTTGGTAGGTAATCTTCTCGGACAAGGGCGAAAAACCTCGGAAAACCTGTGTGCATATTGCGCACTTTAGTTTTAGTAGAGGTTTTACAACGCTCGCAACTGCATAAGGTCATATGAGCGCCAAGGGGTGGATGTCAACAGAGAAGTCCTTTCAGGGAATCAGACGTACTCTGCTCACCTCTCCAGCTTCAACAGCACAAAGTCTGCTTTGACTATCAAGGCACCCCGGAAATAGCAGGTCACAAAAGTGTGACAAACATACAAAAGAAGTAGAGGAAAATGACGATAATAAGGATTTGGAAAGAAAAAGCAGCAGTTCCCTGTTATCGTTCAGGCACAGTTATTAGCATGACATTGTTCGATCAGCCCATTTAGGAATGGCCTTAAGACACTTCAGTCAGTGGCACCGCCCCGGGGGTGGCGCACGTTAAAGATCCCTTGGTGGTCCAAAAATCGATGAGTAAGTAGGCTTCGGGCGCCATCCAGGCAAAATAAAAAATTTCCACCAACTGAAAATCAATGTGTTCGTGCGTTCATATGACTTTATGCAGTTTCGGGCACCGTAAAACAATTACCAAAAAAAAACGTAAGACCTACCAGTGACGCCCTCAACCACCCACTCTCAGGCCAGGAATACAGTGGAACTCGGATTCAATGAGGTCGCCGGGCCTGACCTAAAATCTCGTTGAATCCGAGTGTTCGTTATAGCAAACACGAGGTTTTGTGTAGATAATTACTGGCACTGAGCAAGTAATGTATAAAGAGAAGTCAAAAGTAGTGCCTAAAATGCCTGCATATTATGAGCTGTGTATGAAAAAGACCGATTCTTTCAAATTCACACGCTTGTGTCATCTCGATCTTTTACCAAAAGTTG